CCCCAAAACCCCAAAACCCCAAAACCCCAAAACCCCAAAACCCCAATTTTAAGCCTGAGCATTGAAATTAAGCTAAAAAGATTATCAAATTCTTCCTTCTCCATAGTTGATTTCGTAGTCGTAGCCATACCAAGAGCTGAACATTTTCCAGCTCTCTTGAGATACCAGGATGTAGTCATGAAGCTCTTGCAGGTGATTCTTCAAGTTGTAAGATTCCTCCGATCCTGGGTTTGACTCTATAGAGTCTCAATTTGCTCTATAAAGAAAATTAGTCTGATCTTTTTGTTTTTACAAAAAAAGCTCCAGGGATTTTAGCTCAAAGCTTGATCTTGTAAGTGCTAAGGGGTTACTAAACCCCCTCCCTCTTAGTCTCTGTACTGACCAAAAGGTTCCTTTCCTCTAGCCCGAGCATGTGACAATTTGCTTTAAGAAGGAAATTCCGAAAGGCTAATTTTCGTTTTATTTTAAATGTCATAAAACTTTACTATACCTCTTTTGGTCTAAAAGTTATATGTAGAATTACCACAATCAGCATTGGATCGTTCAATCAAGACCTTGTTGATGATCTTTCCTGGCCTATGAAATTAAGTTAAACCCTCACCTTGTGTAAATTTCATTGTACCGATCATCATTTGGAATAATAGAGAATCTGTCTTTCTTAAAGCCAACGTTGGAGTCTCTAGATTGTAGCACATGAATAGACTCCTCAGGTTTGATATTATCTTGCTCAAAAATCTTCGAGTCGAAATCCATATCGCTTTCTTCAGAGACTCTTATAGTAGAACCTGGAGCTTTACCTTCTCACTGGTTAAAGCTACCAGCTTGGACTCTTGCATCTTTACAATGTTGCTCGAGTGTCTTATATTCAATGTTGACAAAGTCGCACCAGATTCTCCACCACTCAGCTGGGAGGGCATATTCAAATTGGTCAGACATCGCTTGGGCACACACAGCTTGATATTTCCTAAAAATTACATCCTTTTGCTCATCAGATGACAGATATTTGCAGTAGTTTCCACAACTTTTAGAATCAGGGTCTTTAAAGTTCCTAGGAGACTGACAAACGCACTCTTCTTTAGAGCTCACAAGGGGGGTAGCCTGGGACTTCAGTGAATCCCGTTGCTTCACTCGTCTCACCTCAGTCACTAAGAATCAGGATGGAAGCTTACTTGGAGGAGTGTTGATATTGTATCCAATCTTGTTTCTACAATGCAACTTTGTCTGATTGATAGCCCCTCTCTTTTCAATTGATTGATCAACTGACAGATTCGAACGCACAGGAGTACATCTCTTTGAACCAACATCTATCGACACTGGGGACTCTAAAGATGATTAAGAAACTTACTGAAGGTTGCCATTAAGTCTGTTCTGGTAGTATGAACACCAGAGGAGGCTCCTGGTACCTCTAAACATACTATTTCACAAAAAATTACCAATAACATTCTTGTCAGCTTCCAGAGTCTCTTTCTTATCAAAAAGGTTGAGCAGTACAGATTTTAGCTTGTTAGAGGTCAAGCTTTTATTCCTTTTCAGCTTTGTCTCCAATGAGTCTAACTTCTTCCTACAGAATCATCGAAAGAGAGCTTACCTTTGAGGATACTTGATCTTATCCAAAACCTTATTTTTGGCCTGAAAGTCCTTGGAAGTATAGTGACTTGTGAACACTGGGAGGACAATCTCTTCAACTTTCCCGTTATCAAACGTGATATCAGCTTTATCATCATGAGAAGACTCATCTTTCATGCTAAAGTAGGTCTTAGAGCCTCTGTTCCGACCCTTTTGTTTCTGGTATAGCTTGCTGATCATATGCGTGGTCTTTGGGGTCCGGTTCTCCTTCTGAGCCTTGGCCTCAACCTTCCTAGTTCCGCTTACCTCTTGCTTCCTGGACGCACTAGTCTGGTTCCTGCTACTTATATCGATATGAGCAATCCTTTTAGGAGCAGAACAGTTCTGAGGTACCCCTAAAGATGAACACAACTCACTAACTGTGTGTAACAGGGGCTTTGGGCACTCTGTTAGGAGATCTGGGCGGAGGATTATTCACCAATATCTGCTCGTATCTAGTAAGCCTCGACCTCATTTCTTTCATCTCCAGCTTGAGTTGCTTAACCTCCTCACGAAGGTCACTTGAGTGGTGCTCGAAGTAGGCCTTGATCAGGTCTTCCATCTTTGATTGCTTTCTTTGGTCAATAACTTTCATCTTCTTAGTAGCTAGCTTGTTCGAACTAGCCTTTGAGTCTAATCATAGTTAGAAGTTAAGAGCAAATCCCCATTGAAGCTTGTAGAGATTAATTCGAAGCAACATCACCCAATTCCAGCACAAAAGTAGTTGCCACAAAACAGCCACATATCTGGAGCCTAAGTATTCGAATGTAAGCTCAACCAGCTAATGAGGCGAATAGACAGTCAAACTTTTAGCGATAAGTGCAATCTTTAGGAGCTGTAGCCAGAACTTGATGATTCTAAACCTATCTATTCAACATGCACTGACTAAGTTTCATCAAAAATGCACATCAAGAATGACACAAATCTGACTAAACTAAAACTACCGCTTACTCAACTCAGAACTGTAGCTAAGAGGACTAGACATTCCTATTGGCTTGCTCTCAGGCTTTGACCTCTTCACGACTGTATGTACAGAGCTAAAGCTAGTTTTCCCACTGGCATTGGCCTGCTCAGTCTTCTTCTTCAGTTTTGGAGCACTCTTCTGCATCACAAGGTCTTTGGTCAGAGTTTTATCTAAAATATCAGAAATGTACATAAAGTTCCGTCAAAACTTACTCTTGTCCTTATGATGGCTGAGCTGGGTTCTAGGAACCACCTAAGCATTCAAGGTCGATCATCCTCTGCTTGGAATACATAGGTCTGTACTTCCTGGTTGCCAACGAAGTGGGGCTCTTAAACCCGGTAAATTTAACCGTACTGGCCATATTTAATATTGACTATCTAACTGACATATTTCATATTTTGCAGAAATGGGGTTTTGGGGTTTTGGGGTTTTGGGGTTTTGGGG